CATAGCATATTTTTCGTGTAGATAAGCTCATTAGACAAATTTTACATAGAAATATTTTACCACAGAGCACACTAAGCGACAGAGTGTTTGTTTGCATCACCCACAGTGGACGAGTTGACCGCGTGCACCTATATCCACTTACAATTGAATAAATCTCAGTTTACGGTAATTTTGGAAATTCGGTTTTGGAATTTAGCGGCTTTTTCTCCCTTCCGCAAGAAATAGAACCCTGAACGAAGGAGACGATGGTCTGATTCCGTGTAGAATTTTAGGACAGCAGCGACATCGGTTTGGCAAAACCTTCTATTTATTATGATGTGGTCTATTTCGTTATGGTACTCTGCATTGGAAGACTCTCACGCCCAGCGCTTAGTGTGGGGCTTCTGGAATTGCGAGTTACCATGGATTGTCTTTTTCGCAATGATAAACTCAGATAGTAGCTCACCCTGTCCGTTCCATTCTAATCCGTGGGTACCAATGAGACGTTCTTCTTGGTCCATTCTTGGCGCTGAAATCTCCAGGGATGACCTTAAAGAATGTGTGGTCTTTTCTGAAGAACTTCTCGAAGTCCACATAAAGCGCTTCCACTTCCTTTTCGTCATAGTTTGATGTCGACGCGATATCGACGAAGATTGTCAAAGCCGGAATTAATCAACGTCTTTTTAATCGTAAGCGTCCGATTCGGGTTGTAAGTTGTTCGAACGAATCGGTGTTCATAGACAAACCCGTGTTGACAAGAACGCCGACGCCACCGACTCCTCTGCTGTCGCATGTTCCGAGGAACAGTTCTTTTCCGGTGTCATAGACGGCGTTGAAAGGTTGGCGTCTTCTCGTCTCGGCCACGCTGATGACGTCGTGCCTTTTCTTTTTTGCTTGCATGAGCAAGTCTTCTGTCGGGGACTCGGATGGAAGTGTACGCGCATTGTAGGTACATATCGTCACCATAGTTCTTTGAAATCCGGGCAGCTTCCATTGGCCCTGAGATTTTAGCAGCCTCTCCGTACTCGTCCTACCCAATGCTGCGAAATTGGGGGCACTTTCAGGGTCAGGGTATTGATGCTCGTTTCGTTTACTGTGCTTAGCATTTTGATCTCCACGTATAGCTTGCTGAGCTTTGGACGGGCGGGCTGGGTATACTCACCGGTAGCTTACCAGTCTCTCTCAGGGTGGACATGGAGCCTATTTGTTTTAGGCCACTCCTAACCGCCTCCCATATGCTTTCTAGTCACTTGATTGCAGGCTTTTGGCCGAATTGGCTCGTAGAATACAATCCGCATAAGCAAGAACGCACCCCCACGCACATGCATGAATATACCTAGCAAATGCAGAAAGTATGTGCTAAATCAGCGCAGCAGAAACAGGGAGTCGATCTCCTGGATCCACCTGCGTCTCAGGAAAGCAAAGGTCGCTTTTGGTCCGCGATTAACCCCCTATCCGCCACCTGGGAACGCGCCACGTAGCCTCGCGACTAGCCGGCCCGAGTTCCCTCATATGAGGGAGATGCGTGGTCTGTTTGAAAGGTCTCTAAAGTCATTGACTTCGTAAGTTGTCCAGCTACCGAAGATTACCGGCAGTTACTAAAAACTAGCATAGCACCTTGTGTGGGGAATACGGCGCTATATTCTTAAACAGCAATTCACTGTCTTCTTTCTTGTTTAAAATTATTATGATAGGCGTATCGTATGGGATGGCTAGTTATAATAAATACCGAAATACGACCAACATATGTAGCAAAACCCTTCCAGATTCTGACAGCGATGTTTATCAGATGAAATGTGGTAACATTTTTCCTATATCAGCGACGTCCTACCTTCAGATGAAGAAGGCAAAGACTCTTCCAAAATTCCGTGATGTTGTCGACTTCACAAGCTCTCTAAGTGTTGGGAATCTATCGTCTAAATATCCATACGTTCGCACCGTCACCATGGCTTCCCGCGGCGATTGCAGATGCAATCAGTGGTTGGCGAGAGAAACTACCGTTCAGAAACGGCTTTCGCTTGACGACCCGAGCATACGTGTTAGAATGAATAGAGTCCAGGATCTGGGTGTATTGGATATGCATTGTATATTATGCGTACGCTTATGCTTGTGCTGTAAACCGACTTACATGACGGATGGCTATTACTGCTTTCATTGTTCATTATCCTCCATTGTCTGTTTTCTTTGCTCTCATGGATCACTTTTATGTTTATATCTGATGCATGTGTAGACATATACATTACATGCTGTAGAGTGCACACTAAATCTTTTTGAGGACAATTTTCAACATATTGGCTGTGGTTGCAGTAAAAAGACTTCATGGCTGTCTATGAGAACAATCTCCGTTGGAGTACATTGACGAATGCATACTCTGGGAACACCTGGCCACTGTGAAGAAGTATCCTAGAAGATTTATCTTGTAATCCTAGCGAAAAACTCTCTCCAAGTGTCGAACCCCAGTGCACGGATAGAGGCCTGTCTGTGCCTTTCACTGGCCACACTATCCAAACTGCACACTCCCTTCAACAGCAACACCCCCGCCTACGAAATAAACCAGTCCAAAAAGAGGTTTTTTAATTATTAAGTTAAAAAAAAATAAAAAAGGATAAGGCTCTTGGCGTCGATGAATCTCTGAGGGACGCGCTATCCATCCGACTTAATTGAACATCGACGGAGGTGACTGAATGCATATCTGGCCTTTAAAGTGACTCGCGGTGACCTATCGACGTATCGAGCGAGGACTACTATCCTCCCATACAAGTCTGGCACCAATTTGCCGATCACGGAAGGATGGAAGGCTCGGTGAGCCTGGTGCGCGGAGATCGATTCCGTCTGTATTTCAGGGCACCTCCAACCACTGCGCTACACGCGCCCCACCACAGCATTTGCACTGGATAAGCAGCCAATTGATTACAAGAAGTGCAAGGAAAACTTCTGTGCTCCAGAATAAGTCAGCAGAAAGAAAATGACTGCAGGTGCTTTACCGGTTACCTCTGAAGACCAGTGTGACGTGTACAGGTGTCACTCGTAGCGAGAGTGTTAAAGACATCGGCACTACACCACCAGGTGGGAGACAGGACTAGTGCTACTCCATGGGAGTTAGGAGATTGAATTTCAGAATGAAATAGCTCGAGGGGGTAAAGGAAGGTATTCATAGATCTTATGTTCGAGAGTCGTCATTTAAACGAGTAATCGAATGCGCAATAACAAATTGGATAAACCACTGCACAGAGACTTTGCAGTTGAGCTATGATACCTCCTTCATCTATGGAGGGGAATAACTAAGTTGAAGGCAGCCTTTGTTACAGGTTTAGTATTAATGTTATCCTTATTTGATTTAAAGTTCGGCTTAGTTGCTTTCGCAAGAGCCTAGAAGATTTGAAGGACTAAAATACCTATTTATTTATGTGATCTTATAAACTGATCTTCTTAAGCTGACGCAAGGTTGGTACTGGTCTTCGTTGTCGCTGTCGTTGTTTTTGATGTTATTGATCGATGGCTGACGTTTCGGCGACTTCGCCTTACTCAGAGCCGTGATGTTACGTGCGGGACCTATTCTTATACCTGTTCTATAGGTATAAGAAAATACCTATTCTTCAGAAGATCCAGAAATCGGAATAGAGGAATATGATTCACTTTGTCGTACGACCACCTTGACAAAAGGAAGTAAGGAAGTCGAACAACTTAAAGTTATGATGACGCTAAGTCCCAACAGTCTATTCGAGCTTATCCCTTGTAGTGGTTGCTCTTTTGCGTAGGTTTGAGGAATCCGGTTGTCAAAAATCATTTCGACGAATTCTTGAGGATCCTAGTAATTTGCTCATGTCGAGACGTTTGTTTCGCCTTCTATCATCTTTACCAAAACAACCAGTTCATCACAGTCGCTGTCCTCCCGGACGTCTCTGGATAGTGAGAGACCAGCATAATTGCAAAGTGCCTAGCCTAAACGGGAAATAGATGGATTTGCGACGAAATTAAGTACTCCAATGAGAGTAGGATCCTTCAAACAGTTGACAGCGGAGGCTGGACGTTTGAAAATCATCGAAAACTTTTCCTAGCACCGCTTTTGTCACTGCAAATGTCCAACCTTTCCGAGCGGGGTTACAAATTATTTGGTCAACCGCAACCTCACTTCAAAACATCACATAATTTGCAGTTTATAGATCGTAGCTTCAACATCACCGCGCATTAGAGATATCCACGAGTCCAAGGGGGCACTGACGACGTCAGAAATAGGCGTGACATTTTGTGTAGGACGTAACTACACACACAACAGTGTAGTCTATATCACACGTTCTCACTAGGTAATTAAGGAGAATTCTGTTTACGAATTGGGTTCCAGACTGTTGTTAGTGTGTTCACTAAAGTACGTTAAGAGTTTGGCCTTAATTGGTAAGGAATATTAATGGTTCTGTTAGTATTTGTTCTGTTCGTGTGAAATCACTGCTCACTTTTCCTCGTTTTCCTTCTTTGTCGTTTATTTCATTCATGTTGACCAGTATGTCATTGACGTTTAACATCGGAGTCGAACTAATGAGAACATTTTAAAAGACTGTTGTAAAAATCAGAAACCCGTATTGCTGATTGATTTGCGAAGCAGACAGATATAAGCTCGACAGCTTATATAGCTTATTCATTTCATGAACGATGTGAGCATCTCTCAACACACCGGGTTCTTTGCTAGTGCCACGTAGCCCTTGTAATCCAACTTTTCACTTTCCTGCTTTACGTATCAAATGGTTTGCTAGGTAGTGCAAGTTGTTCTAAAGTTCATAGGAGCGCAGCTTATGAGCTATTTTTTGGTGCGCTGCTTAAAGGAAGCTTTCTAATTAATTTCTCAAGTCTATGTCTTTGTAAACAACCCTTTCGTTCATTTTTCAGAGATATTATGGACGATTGCGACCTGTTTGAAGCTTTTGAATCAGTCGGAAACGACAGCATTTCTTCTGTCCCGGTGGCACATACAGTGGACAAAATGTCTTCTGTACGGTATTCTTCCAAGATTTGCAGCATTGCTGTAACTGTTAGTGGTGCATCTTTGTCAGTACAGTCGTACCAAAAGCTGTTTGCAGCGGGAAGAAACTATACATACATCTCGTCAGGAAGAAGCACGAAGACAGGCAGCTTCCCTCCTTAACTCCATGTTGCGAGGTGATTGCGGTGATTCCGTAGAACCGGCCGTTAAACGGGTGACTCCATACGCCTCATATAAATTACAATCATACATTTTAAATATTTTGCAGCTTTGAGAACTCAGAGTAATTTTTATTCTGCAGTTCAAAGAGGATGAAATGGTCCCAGAAGAAATTCGAGAAACTTTTGAAAGAAGAGTTACGGTGCATACTATTCAAACAGACAATGAGAATTGTTCGCATGAAGTACGTCTTTGTTTTGTTTCCAGTAGTCGTAGCGTTGTCAGTGCTTCATCTGTGTCTAGGTAGCACTGCCTCCTGACATGCCGTTCGAGCCGTTGGTTACCAGAGATGTGGCTCCGGCGAAAAGCTACCCCTTCCAGTTGGATGCGTTTCAACGAGAGGCAATCACTTGTGTTGAGAATAATCAATCAGTGCTTGTTTCTGCTCATACTTCTGCTGGAAAGACTGTTGTTGCCCTGTAAGCATGTTTCTGTTCTACATTGGAGAAATGTGTTAGTTTTGCTGAAATCTCATAGTTTTTATAGATATGCCATAGCCCAATCGTTGCGAGACAAACAAAGAGTGATCTACACATCTCCAATCAAAGCCTTGTCAAACCAGAAGTTCCGAGAATTGGAAGAGGAATTTGGAGACGTAGGTCTTATGACAGGTTTGTTGTTCAACTTAATTTGCTTTCCCTTGTGTGATTTGTATCCCGAATGTGGTTGTGTATACTTCTTATGCAGTGGACATTCTATACAATTAGTTGATAGGGCAACTTACTTGATACTTGATACTTGAACGGCCCGTCCTCACTGGTTGTGCGGGCCCCAGTATAATCACCATTTTTCGGAGATTTGCTGGTTAAGCCACTGTGGTTCCCTGGAGTCCCGAGGTTAGCCTGGTCAAAGTTTGCTCCAGGTCTTCACCACCACCGGCAGTCTCAGCCCTTGTGAATCAGAGAGAGATTTGCCACCCTGTGACTTTGATACCAGGACTGTGGTGGATCCTGAGATTGGTTTATTCTTAGCTAGGCTTACTAATGGAGACGCCGTCCTCCTTCCCAGCTTGGGAAACCTTGTCAGGGGGCAAATCTCCCTGCTGTACACCGCAGTCCAACACCCAGGAACATCTCCTAGCCACAATGAGTCGGTAAACCTTTGGAAGGGACATGTTGGGATATGGAACAACTACTCTTTAAATTCATACTAAGGACTTCAAAACCCACTTAAGAGGTTATACAATATGCCTTTCCATATAGAGACGCGTCTAGTGCAGTGATCGGAGGCGCCTTCCAATACAATACAGATGGGATCGACCCCTCGCCACAGGACCGCCAAGCTCTCCATCCCTCCTGGGTCGGAAAAGTGGTACCAGACTTGTCTGAGAGGGTAGCAGCACTGGCTAGATATATTGGCAGGCTGCTGCGAGTCAATATAAAGGCCGGATATGCATTCAGTCACCTCCAACGACGCTTAGTGAAGTCAAATGCATTGCACATTCCTTAAGGATAGGTCAACGTCGAGAGCTTTATCCTTCTTCCGTTGCTTTTCCATATTTGCCGTTTTCTTCGAGTCTTCTCGTTGTTCTGATCAGCAGGGCGATCAGCTGTTGACTGAGTGATACTGGTTGCTACTAATTATTATCCGTGTTGAGTAGTACTTATTCATAGTTGAGTGTGAAGGTACGGTTAAACGAAAAGCTCTACCTTTTTCTGTTCGAGTTTACCATCGGCGTTTTAGTCTACTCCATTATCTCTAGAATCAAGTCAACTAATTTGGTGAGCTGAAATCGTGTAGGTTTTGTGATCTGAGTTCTTTCGAAGTCAACATTGTTGGTTTTTACGTTCTAGAAACATTTTTTTGAGTAGATCTGATTCACTGAAGCTTAGAATTCCCATGTAACAGTGAAATTAGAATCGTTTTTACATTTATGTCTCATTTGAAAGTGTTCACTACGGCATCTCAAACTAGGCACTTATGTTTTTGGTCGCCTAGTTTTTAAAGATAACAGAATACTAAAAAAAGGATAAAGCTGTCGGCTTTGACCAATCACTTAGGGATGCGCTGTGCATTCAACTTCATTAAGCATCGTTGGAGAGGGTTGAATGCATATTTGGACTTTACAACAACTCGTGGCGGCGTACCGATTTATCAAGCCAGCGCTGCTATCCTCCCAGAAAAGTCTGGCACCGATTTGCCGACCCCGGAGGGATGGAAGGCTTGGTGGGCCATGGGCGCGGGAATCGATCCCATATGTATCACAGGGCGCCTTCAACCACGGTGGCACACGCGCTCCTTACTTTGTATTATGAAGGAATATTTATGGGTTTTTGCTGAAACATTGTGGTTTTCGCTTCTTGAAGGAATTATTAGCAGTTGTTTGCGAGTTTCCCATTCTCAATTACTGGTACAATGTGCTGTCTTCAGAGCAGATATAGCACCTATCCCCTCTGCGTGATTCCTGATGTGAAAGAAATGAAAATTCGCATTACTTGAGAGTTCTGTGCACTATATCTCTTTGCTATATTTTCGGCAGCACCTGTTTGTCAACCTAACGATTCTTTTTTGTTTAGAACTTTAACAAATGTACACCATTGACGTATCTAATATCATCACTCAGTTCTTTGCAGTTTTATCATTACTCTGATGGTCCATCGTGATTATAACACTAACAGGTGACGTAACTCTAAATGCTGAAGCATCCTGCATTGTCATGACAACTGAAATCCTTCGGTCTATGCTGTACAAAGGCTCTGAAGTGATGAGAGAAGTGGGTTGGGTGATCTTCGATGAAATCCATTATATGAGAGACAAAGGTTGGCTTTTATTTGTTGCTCTTTTCGCAGTTATTCATATTCCTTTATAATGTCACAAGGAAAAACTGCATATTTTAGAACGTGGCGTTGTTTGGGAGGAATCTATCATCCTCCTGCCAGACAACGTTCATCATGCATTCCTGTCGGCTACTATTCCAAACGCGCGGCAATTTGCACGTATGCAGAACTTTTTATTCTCGCATTTTGTAAATTTCTAATTTGAAAGTGAAACCGCTATGATGCTGAGGAGTGAGCTATGCTCGGATCCTCAGTTGGGCTTCGAAATCTCCATTATCCTTTCCAAGGGCTCACGCGTTATCTGCTGCACCACGAAGGACCTTGCTTTGCTTTTTTCTCAGCAAGTCCTTTTTAACGTAACGTTGCCATCAGCAATGATCCCTCAACGGGAATGACCTGGGTAGCAATCGGCATTGAACCCAGTTAAGCTGGAGCCGAAGTCGAAATCACAATGCTTCGCTTTTATTTAGTTATTGCCAATTATTTTTTGATGCCAGGATGCTATGTGAACCACAATGATGCTGAGATATAAGTAAAATTCGGAACCTCAGGTGTCGTTCAAACCAACGATTACTCTTTCTGTAGGTCTACATGCTATACACTAGACCACCCTAGCCGTGCCTTTCATACAGCAAATCTTTTCGGCCTAATCTGAAAATGTTTAACAAATAGATGAGTGACGTAGTGACTACTACCCTTCACTAACTTAGTTTCTTTTATCTAGAAACAAATTAAGTTTAAGAACTATTTTTCTTTTTTGAGAGTGGGTGTGTTGGCTGCATAGGCAGCCGGTGCATGTCGTGTACACGGATTATCGGCCTACTCCACTTCAGCATCTCATCTTTCCTGTGGGAGGTGAAGGGCTATATGAAGTTGTCAACATCCAGGCTAGTATTGGTATTTTTATCTAATCTCACACATATCTACGCAACTCCATACATGTTTGTTCACTTCAGGGTCAATTTCTTGAAGACAAGTTCATGGAAGCAATGAGTGGATTAGAGGCGCTGGGTGACAAAGCGGAAGGAGGTATTCAGAAAGGTCGTAAAGGTGGAATGAAGAGTATGTCTTGATATCTCTCCTATGTTTGGTATGGGTGTACTTCTAACAAGGTAGTCCTGTCATTTACTCGTGCAGATTCATTATAAATGAATGTTAGACTAATCTTTTCAGATTCTGTATATGACTCTTCATAAACTTTTTTTTAGCCGATTCTAACGTAGTGAAGATAATTCGAACTATCAAAGAACGTTCAATGTTGCCGTGCATCATATTCTCCTTTAGTAGGAAGGAGTGTGAGGCGTATGCTCTTTCTCTCAAGAATATGGATTTTAACGATGGTCAGTTCATTTCCTTATTAAATTTCCTGGATAGATCTGTCTAGGGATAGCTCACTTTTATGTGTTGAAAGAATTTAAAGGCCTCTGCTTCATTACTGTCATCTGGATATTCGGAAAAGAACCATCCATATTTTTATTTAGATGAAGAGAAGAAATTAGTTCGCGAAATTTATAGTAGTGCTGTCAGCCTTCTAAAAGATGACGATAGGAAGATTCCTCAAATAGGACAGGTACTGGGTTTTTGCCTTGCTGCTTTCAGGCTTTTTTTCTCTGATCTTTGTCCCTTCCTTGATGTGCTTAATGTCATTTTAATTTCAAGATACTTCCTCTATTATTGCGTGGCATCGGTGTTCATCACTCAGGACTAATGCCAATTCTTAAAGAAACTGTGGAGATATTATTTGGAGAAGGTCTGTTGAAGGTTGGTCTTAAAATTATTCTGAACTCTCTGTGATAAACTTGTGGTGCGTTAGTTTTTCTTTTTTTATTTGAATAGAATATCTTCTTCACGTTCCATGTAGACCTTGTTTGCCACGGAGACGTTCTCGATGGGCTTGAACATGCCAGCGAGAACAGTTCTGTTCACGTCAGCCCGTAAATTCGACGGAATTAATAACAGGTATTTGAACAGTTTCCCGATTCTCCATTTCTGCAATGATGCTGAGATATTCGCAAAACTTGGACCTGGGACAGATCGAACTACGATTACTCTTTCCGGGGGCTCGCGTATTATACACTGCACCATTGAGGCCCTTGCTTTGCGTTTCTCTCGGCTAGTTTTCTACCTAACGCTGCCATCAGCAATCATCCGTTAGCGGGATTGATCTGGGGAGCACAAATCCGCATTGAACCTAGGTTTAACTATCTAATTAACATGGTTTAGTTAATTAGTTAAGCTAATTTCCATTTCTGGTTTTAATTTGAAACACACTCCCATTCTGGTTCTCGAAAACTTCCAATATTTTATCGACTACTAGAATAGTTGTGTTTAGAGTTTGGTAGATTTGTAATATCGGCGTTCTGCCATCACTTTAAGGGGACAAATAAGTACGATCTTAACTCTTTTATTTACTGCCTTTTTCTTCTTAATGACAGGGTATGTTGTGAAATATAACTCGTATGAAGTGCTGAGATATTTGCAAAACTCCGGACCA